TCCATAGGCTCGTAAGTCTTGCTCATTGTTATTATAGCCTCTACCATCTTACTTGGGATAGAGATCAGACTCATCAGCCTGTAACTTGCAGGATTCCCTCAACAGTCCTTTTTGTAGGTGAGTGTGACATGGGCAGCAGTCTGCCAGTCATCTGGCACAGTGGCTGTCTGTAATGACAGTTACACATGTTCACTGGCGCCTCTGCCCTTCGATATTTCACTTCCTTTAGAACTCCTGTGTGAAGACCATCCAGTCCTGGTAACTTGTTAACATCTCATTCACCTACTTGATCTAATAACCTTGTGCATTTACATAGGTCAGATGCGCTACACCAGGGGAAGTAAGCTGTTTGTTACGACTGAGAATTGATCAGCATTTAAACTCTGTATGTTGTAGGGTTGTGCTACAGGAGAAAGTGGTTTAAAAAAGATACATTGCTATTTGCTGTCCTTGCTAGCATCTATATTACTAGGTTTCTTGTTGAAGAGATGCTACCCATGTATGCAATATCCATGACACACAGCTGTCTTATCACAAGGGTTGACCTATTCAACTATGACAGCAGGCTTTGCAATGATTTCTTTAAATCATAGATACTTGGTTTTGGCTGGGCACAGATTGGAAATCAGCGTAAGAGTTGGTCAGATCTCCTTGTGAAAAACACAAGGCCTTAGACTGGGAAGAAGTAGCCTTCTGTGGGTCAAGGAATGAAACAATTGCTGACTGTTCTGAAGTTGAAGACTGAAAATTATCTATGGGCAGTCAGAGGTAGGGGAGCAAGCAGTTGGGTGCGGCTTTCTCTGCTTTGTTAGGCAGGCTGTGAGTTGTAGAACAGTACAAAATCTGCTCTTGATACAAACTTCCTCACTGGACAGGTATGTGCCTGAAGCATTGCCTTCTGGGAAGTGCATTTCTCTCAGAGAGCAACATAAGTGAATCTGAAGTTAATATTTTGCCAGGATGTTGAAATCAGATGGAGGCTCATAGCAATGTAACGGCTGTTCATGTTCTTAGATATTCTTGTTGCTGGTGTTTGCACATCATACAGAAAAGCACATTGTGTGTGGCAGTCTGCATAGTGCCTGGTCTATAAGGCTCTTGTTTCTAGCCTGCTGCCTTTTTCTCTGGACAGTTTTTCAGGCTATATGTGCTACACAAGCATCTGAATGTTTCTTCTCTTTTCATTGCCTTAAGTCCTGTACTTATGGTCCATTTATTATGGCCACATGCCATCCATGTGTTTAGATCAGCCCAAAACACAAAGCTCTTACTGCTAGCGTATTAAAGTTTGCTGGGCCTTGTAAGGGTGAGAGCTACCCTTCGTTCAGGGAAAGAAACAGTGTTTAAGCTCTATTTTGGAATGAGCTATTTAGAGCAATAGAAGCTGTCATGCAAAACGTGGATGATGATTCCATATTTACACATACAAAACCCTTAAAGGTCTAAGTGTTTCTGACTGAACCTCAAAACCAGACTCCTTGCCATCCACACAGAGATGTAAGTATGCTGGAAAGAAGGTTGGAACATCCCCTGACGGTGCTCTGCCCTTTCACTGGCGAGACAACAAGCCTCTGCTGTTTGCTTTCTTGCTGACTGTGAGCAGCTGTAGTAAATGCCCTGGCTTGGCCTCTCCTTTCCCCCCACTTCACAGGTCCGGGGCTGGCACAGCCACTATGTTAAGAACCTTTGGAAATACTTTACAGTAATTAAATCCATGCTACATTACAGCTTCAGGAGCTCCTTTTTTGGAGAGTTGACCTTTTTTTAGTTACTTTCTGTTTATTTCATCTTTTTTGTGTTTTTAATACCACTGGTCAATAATTTGCTTTCCTCTTGCTTGAGAAAAGGTAGTGGATTGTTAGCTTTAGACTGTCATCTCCTGCTTGGATGGGATAACTCACAAGGTACCAGGTTTAGACATGGATTTAACAAGCTCAACCACAAGTTGAAGTTAAACTGCTTAAAGGCATGCAGATTTGCCTTGAAACACAAATGCTGTCAAATTCCTAGAACCTCATAGCTTGACATTGATGAGTGGTCCCATGGCTGCCTCCAGCACACAGTGGTGTGTTTGGAAAACTGCATTTCCCAATATTCCCTCTTTTCCTCAGTTAAAAATAATAGTGGATGAACAGTGACCAGGGGCCTATCCTGTTCTTCTACCAAATCTGAGGCAAATAACTGTGTTATCCCCCCCGTCAGATTGTGAAGCACAATAGAATTGAGCTTAGTTTAGCTTTTAGCATTTTGGGTTTATACAAAAGTTAAATATTATATGAAAGCCAACGAGTCTGAACAGAACAGATGGAAAAATGCTCTGCTCTGAATTTAATATAAAATCTTGTTTAAAATAGCAGATTGTGCCTAATAGTGTAAGTTTTGTCTGAAGAAAGGACTGCGACACTAAAAGATAAACAATTAAATCACTGTCCATAAATTGATTTTTGGCAAAAATGAAGCAAAATAATCACTCGCATACTTTAACAGTGGAAGCTGTCCCCAACACCTGCAGATTGTCCATTGCGCATGTCTTTCCGTCCTCTTCCATGACTGCGTGGAGGTACCCAGCTGTGTGGTACACTTGCCATGAAGTGGGGTAAGAGTTTGCTTGGAAGCTGATGTGTGTGGAACAAGCAATAGGCTGTCCTTTGCCTTTCTCAAGGAGAAATACGTGTGTTGTGTCATGGTCTACACAGTCAGCTTAACACATTGGAACCGTGCACATTCAGGGGGTGTTTCTCTGGCTAGAGAATGGCCAAAGACCAATGTACCTTGTTGGGAAAAGAGCCTGTGTGCCACAAAGCCCAGGCATGGCAGCCCTGTAATTTTCTCCTCTTTTCCCCTGATACTAGGAACAGACAACCACTCAAGGGATTAGCCACTGTCAAAGCATGCATATAAATTATGCTATCAGGGTAACTTGGAACCGTAATGGTTGTTGAAGTGGGGTCAAAATAATGTGGGGATGGCCTGTGAGGTCTCTGAAAATGCACCTCCTTCTAGGTTAGAGCTTGCCTCTGTGTGGCTGCCAGCCTTTCGACCTCGGGAGAGATGCCAGTGACTCATGGGCCACAGTTCGTAGTCTACAGATAGCATGTGGAACTGTGTTGCTTTTATAGAGTTATTAATAAAAGTTTAGCAAGGGAGCGTAGCCATGTGTGAAAGATTGAAGCTAGGTGGAGACCCAGAAAAGTTTAGGTGACACTAGATTGGTATGAAGCAGCCCATGTAATTAATAAAGTATCAAAGAGGAGGAGATTACGTTTCTAGGATTCAACTGTGAGCTCCTTTTCAGCTGCATACTGGGGGCTGGTACACATTTCACTGTTTTCTGTAGCAGCAGAGACATGTTTGAGCCTTGGCTCTGAATTGATGTGAACCTTTTAAGACCCCATTCTGTATGACCTGAAGAGAGTTCTACCATGGGAGAGGGATTTTTGTTTCCTTTTTTTTTCCTGCTAGATATGTCAGCATTACAGAATGGCGTGAATTACTAATTGAAACATGGACAGTTTAAACTGAGCTATCCTAATCTGCAGACATGTCACACCTGGCCAATGAAGTAGAGTTGTAAGTGGTTCGTAGCACTCCTGATCTTTATTCATCCTGGAGCAAGCGTATTTTTGTTAGCACTGCTTTTAGAAGGTATTAGAC